ATTATATGAACATAGAAGAAATATAGGTTATGTTAGGTTAGGTCCAAAGTGAGTGGGTCTTTTCGACCCTCCACCGCAACCCGCAAGGGTTTATTGTGGCTCACACCTATTCACACTCGACCAAATGAACCCAGCTCCTCAATGAAGCCGATTAATTTGTATGGTGAGTGATCGTTCAGGTCAGATGGAAAGTGTAGAGGATCACCCGGTATATTTATTTGAAATGTATGTACTTTTAATGTTCTAGAGGAAGTTGAATAAAGTAGTATTTGCCTAGCATTCGTTTCATTCACATGGCGCAGTCGGTAGGAACTCCGTTTCCAGCCATCTTATGAAAAAGGGGAAGATGTAGAGGATCACCCGATATATTTATTTGAAATGTATGTACTTTTAATGTTCTAGAGGAAGTAAAATAAATCAGACAGAAGTAAAATACTTGGGTAACCTCATAACAAGAGATGGTATCAAACCTGATAGTTCGAAAGTAAAAGCTATAAAATCTATGCCCAATCCAAAAGATAAGAAAAGCGTAGAAAGATTTTTGGTTTCGTAAATCATCTTGGCAAATTCATTCCTAATTTATCATCTCTTATGGCACCGTTTCGGTCTCTGTTGAAAAACGATGTTTTTATTTGGGATAAAAATTTTCAAGAAGCGTTTGAAAAAATCAAAAACATAATATGTGAAAATGCAGTTTTAAAATATTTCGATGTTCACAAAACCTCCACGATGTCTACTGATGCATCTAAAGATGGAATAGCAGCAGTATTGTTGCAGGATAACATGCCGTGTGCTTATGCTTCCCGTGCGTTAACAGACGCAGAAAAAAGATATGCTGTAATAGAAAAAGAAATGCGTGGTGTTGCCTTTGGTTGTAAGAGGTTTCTTCAATGTGTATATGCGCAAAGGTTCAAGATTCGAACAGATCAAAAACCACTTTTTTCTATTCAAAAAAAATCTTGTCGACTATCCTTTAAGACTTGTTAATAAAATTGCAGAAATATGAAATAGATATTTTTTACACCGGGAAAAAACATGTATCTAGCTGTCACATTATATATAGCATATACAAATGATACAAAAATGAATGATGACATAAGTGTAGATATAGAGGCTCAAGTATGCATGCTGAAAATACAAAACAATTTTCAGTCTGAGTTTGTGAAAGACATTCACATTCATTCATTCATTCAGAGTCAGAATTTGGATTCTGACTTGACAAAAATACGATTGTTTTTGCAAAATGGGTGGCCACAAAATATTAATAAATATAATGATTACATCAAATGTTTTTTTTTTCGAAATAAAAATGATTTGCTAGATTTCAACGTTATGCTTTATGTTGGCAAAAGAATTGTTATTCCTAAAAAATTAGTGAATGCAACTTTGCATAAATTGCATTTCAGTCATCAGGGTCGAGAAAAAACAAAAAATTATGCAGTAGAATGTGTTTTTTAGCCAACACTGAGTAGGGATATCAACCACGTCATTATTCTATATGTATGAGATACAGAAAATCTCAAATGAAAAAACCATTATATCCACATAAAGTACCATCACAGCCTTGGGAAAAATTAGGGTGTAATTTTTTTGAGTGGACAAATAGCAATATTTGATTGTCATAGACTATTTTTCAATATACGTGAAATTGATTTGCCTAAACACAAATACAACTGCGGTAAATGTAATAATGCATTTGAAGAGCGTTTTTGCTCATCACGGCATACCAAAAACTTTATTTTCTGATAATGGTCCACAATTTTCCTCTGAATTATTCAAGTCATTTGCTAAGATGTGGGAATTTGACCACCAAACTTCTTCACCATTACATCCACAAAATAATTGTATGGTAGAACGCGATTCTTAGGAAAAGTAGGGATTATCAAAAAGATATGTATTTGGCCCTGTTACAGTATAGAAATACTCCAGTTTCGAATGAAATTGGTTCACCAGCACAACTTTTAATGTCGAGAAGATCAAGAGGAATAATTGTTATGGAAGATAGTATGTTGAAACCAAGTTTGAAAAACATAGAACAAACTAGAAAAAAATTAAATAACTGTCAGGAAGTACAAAGGTACTATTATAATAAAACAACCCAAAAAAGTTTACCAGAGTCAAAAAAGGATACAAAGATAATGGTTCAGGGTACTAATTCTAGTGACAACCGGGAGAAGTTAAAGATAAGGTTACACATAGGTCATATAAAGTCAGGTTGGATAATGGATCAGTTATAGAAAGAAACAGGAGATTTCTAGCTATCATTCCAGAAGAAAAAACAAATAATAATATTGTAATTGAAGAACCAAAAGTTTTGGAAGGTAACAATGATGATGTTATATTTGTAGAAAATCAGAGTAGAAGCGAAAAAACAATAAAACCAGTTCATAGATATAACCCCATGATGTATTCAAAAATGTAAATAAAGGAAGGTGTTTTAGTATTTTGTATTAGACAGAAGTAAAATCATTTGGTTTAGTTGTAGTTTCACAATAGTATATGTTGATTTGATGTAAATTATTGTTGGTGTATAATTTTGAAAAAGGGGAAGATGTAGAGGATCACCCGGTGTATTTATTTGAAATGTATGTACTTTTAATGTTCTAGAGAAAGTGAAATAAAGCAGTACTTGCCTGGCATTCGTTTCATTCACAATAAGAGTTCGGCTCTGCCGAAATCTGAAAACCTGATTCGGTCCCCAACGGGGCAGACACAAATTATATGCTCTGCTGTTTCATCGTTGATGAAGTAGACGGATAGTCAAGGTGCAAGATTCCCACCTTGATACCCGCGACAACCTTCCCATATGAGGGTTTTTGCACGTCAGCTACACCTGACGATGCCTTAGATTCAACCGTGCATGGCTTTTTCACCTCTGGTTTTAGTGAATCATCACTCGAGCGCAAACGTTTGCTTACCTGTTCATGGGGGGTTTGTTCCTCCACCTGAGATAGATTCTGCGTACGCCGCTCAAGAATTTGGTGCAAGGCGGTTTCAAAAGGTACCACGCTCTTGAGGAGACGACTCAGTCGTGGCTGCACCACCAAACCTTTTTTTTCAGGTTCAGTTATTGGATCAAGAGTTGGAGAGTTGAGAAGCTCTCGCTTCTGATCTAAATTTACAGGGAGGTCAGTTGGAGTCGTAAGCTCGACATCCATCTCCTCTGTAGACTCAGCGTTAGAAAGAATTTTCAGGTTTACTTTGTCCATAAAAGTCCCACGAGTAGCTAGGGAAAGAAAGTCAGTCACGAAAGAGCTCCGCATTACCGTGACAAGGTGATGCTACGACGAGAGGGCGCCCGATATCTTGAAGGTTCCGTAGAGACAACTGATAGGCTCAGTGCCATTCATCCTCTCGGCACGGATACACACACCTTAGGATTAGGCCATCGTTGCGATGCCATTCAGTTAGGGAATAACAGAACCACAAGTGATTCTGTCATTCGCATATCTAGCGGGCTACGTGGAAGCAGGTATCAGATGGCCGGTTTGCTCAACATCTACATGCCAAACCAATACACATGCCAAAAACAGTATGCATAGTGGTTCAGGCAGTGAAAGATGAACAAGGACAGTCAACCCGCCTAGAAAAAATATAATCACTGAAGTAAGTTGTTAATATCCTGAAATCTTCAGTATATGATTTATGTTTATCAGTGGAATTTTTCCAGTTTATGAAAGTAGTTGATACAGATATCAATCCTCGGATTGATACTTATTGTTCGATCTACTTCAGAGAAAATCACAATGGAAGTTGTCATTAAAAACTCTTCTAAACTATTAAAGGCTCCATCAGAGAGTGAAACTTTAATTGGTTTCCTGAAATCTGTAGAACCGTCTTTCTGGTAGGTTATTATATTTTTAGGCCATGGTAATTACTGAACTTGTGGTAAGTGTTGAGGGTTAGGCAAGTTAGAAGAGACCAGTGGGATTTTTTTCTGTGTTTATTTATCAAGCAGGAGTTTTGTTGTTTCATTTTGAATGAATAAATGTGTCGCTCTTTTTTAAAGCACAAATACATAAGTCCAGTGGGTTCTAAACATACTACTCAGAACGGAATTCCATATCACAAATGAGAATCTACTAATGAATAATAATGAACGCTTTTAGCTGTATACGAACCTACTTTTCTGGAGGTAATTGCATAACAACACAAAAAAACTATTTTAGAGGGGGTTCTGACATGATGATCAAATCTCAAGTCATTATCTATGAAAAGTCTAAGCAATTTAGTGCCTTACACATACATCCCCAAAAAAATGTAAAATCAGTTTTCGTGATATTCAAAAACAAACGCTTAGCATCACCCCAGTCCTTGATATTCTTCATACCTAAAATATGATTTTGTGGGGATCTGAGGTATTTTTACTGTTCGACTTCAAAAATACCTATTGTGCAGATGGTGTTACCTGCAAATAACATGAATTCGGTTTCGATATTCAACGATGTCAGTTCATTCATGTACCAAAGAAAGATGATGGGACCAAGAATTGACCCCTGAGGAACACCACTGTTCGTACAGGTTGTAGTTGATGATGAAGTTGACGTTTAAACAATTTGACTTCTACCAGTGAGGTATGATTCAAAACACTTTCCATTAATGCCACTGCTGCTAAAGTTAATTAACGATTGTTGATTATTATAAACTTCGTACAGAAAGGACAATGTAGCATCATTGTTCACAATTAATTATATTATGCGATACTAAGAAATCTGTTGAACGAGTGTTTACAATTTGTTCTATTAATTTTGCTAATGAAGGGATGAGACATATTTAACGAAAATTTAAAACTTCAATATCTGAAGAAATGCTTTCATATGGAATTAATATTTCCATTTCCATACTCAAATGTCCCCATTTCTACTTCATGCTCAATAGTCTACTTCTCAAACTGCTATTCGTACTGAAATAATATCTAGCGTAAAAGTTTTCCCGATGATAAAAAATATCGCAGGTCTTCACATAATTTGAAATGGTCACTTGTTTCTTTTTTGTTTCAGAGGAAATCAGGTTATATTTCGGAGAATCGGTTGCTCTTTACTTCACGTTTCTGGGATTCTACACTTATGCTCTTGGAGTCCCAGTTTTTCTGGGATTTCTTCAAATGCTGGTATCTAGAGAAACAGTTCCCTTCTTTTGCATATTCAACGTTGTTTGGGTAACGCTGCTTCTTGAGGTAAGTTTCTTATTTGTATCGATTTGTTATACAGGGTGTGTATTAAGCTTGCGGCAAAAATTCAGGTGACTATTGGACTATTGTAAGGGTATTTTGTCTTTTGATGATTTTTGATAGGGCGCTTTGTTTCGAAGGTACGGAGTAAAAAAGAATTTCGACAATAACAATTTATTACCAAAAATTACTTGTAATGTTCATCAATCTACAAAACTGTTGAAAATGACTTCTCCCCGCTCGGATGCAAGAATCCGATCTTCTTTTCTAATTGCGTTACACCCAATAATTATCCGATTTTTCAAATCTTCCACTGGAGTGGTATAACTTAACGACTTAAAGGAAGTCCCATAGGAAATAATCCAGGTGAAAAAATGCGCTGGTGCACCTCCGGAGCATGTCATCCATTTTTTCAAAAGGATCACCCTATATTGTTTTGCATTATCAGATGCTCCATGATGAGCAGATTTAAACAAAGTATAAAATATAATAATAATACATAGAAGTGTCTCACAATAAAATAAAGTGAATAAAGCCGATGAGCGATAAGTGCTATTGCACTCGTTTCGCCATACAATACCTAAAAATACGGATACCAATTAACAATAACGTACATTTAAAAGTACTGAACAATAGAAAAAAATAAATAAATAAATACATAGTACATAAAATAATGATAATAATCAGAGTAATTATGAAGTTCGTCCTTATTTATGTAAGTAAACTCTATTCAATAGAGATACAAAAGTGTTATCTTACGAAACATATGGATGAAGCTAATGAGCGGTATATATGTTGTTGCACTTGTTTCGCATTAAAATGTGATAGGAATGCGAAGGATATAATAGTTACGCAGAAAGAATAAACAATGTTAAAGTAAGAACATAGTTCATGAATGATCTGAAGCTTATGCTTCGGGAGCTACAAATTTTTTGAGTTGAAAACAAGCCACCCTGAATAACTTTTGGAACAATGATTTTCAGGACCAATAAAAAAACACCTCAACAATAGTATACAGGGCGACACATCTTAACATATTCACATTTGATCTAACTTTCCCTATTGCACCCCCAGATCATGTCACAATTTTTCTAAATTGATCAATTATTTTGCATTATCAGAAATATATATTTATAAACGAATCTATCTATCTATCTATGTCAACAAAGTAGAATACATTATGGTCTGAAGCTCATAGTTTGGAATGTGAAAATTATTCGAGCTGAAAACGAGCCACCCTTCTGTACAGTCTGTTATCTAGGTTTCATAGATGTTTTTGTGAAGAATAATTCAAAAAAAGTCTTATTTTCCCTAGTTGAGTTTGAATTCGATATTCTCTTCATTTTGCATTTGTCTCTTTCTACAATAACGATTACCAAACAGGTGAAGTTACAATTGGTGTTTCTGTCTTTGTGAATTCTTTAGGAGCAATGGTTTATACGCTTGGAGAACGGATTAAAATAGTGAGTTTGTACTGCCAGAATGTAAATAGTGCTAGATCTGCTGCCCGTATCTTCACGAATAATCATCCCGGAAGAAATGTTCGACACAAATACGTCTCAGAATTATTGAACAAATTTATGGAAACTGGATCTATTAACAATAAAAAACATAACCGTTCAGGAGTTGTCAACGAAGAAGCTATTTGTACTGCAGTTTTAGGGCACGTTGGACTAATGGAAAATTCGCAATCTCTAACTAATTTATCTCGAGAATCATGAATCAGTCGTACAACTGTTTTCAGGATCCTTCATAAGTATCAGTGCGACAATTTTTGCATGATCATTTTCCTGGTCCCTGGATTGGCAGAAGAGGTCCTGCAGAATGGCCACCAAGGTCTCCAGATTTCACTCCTGTAGATTTCTTTTTATGGGATCATTTGAAGTCTAAAGTGTATGAGAGAGAGAGAGAGAATATCATGAGGCATTGCAGAGAAATAACTCCCGAGATTCTCAACCATGTGAGGAAGGCAATTAAAGTTCGTTCATACCATTATAAGGAAGTTGGTGGAAACGTTTTTGAACATTTACTATAGAGAATGTTTTCTTCTCATTGTCCAGTCATCAGATTCTGATTCAAGAATTAATAAAAAATCTATTTTTCTGATTTATTGCTTCGATATTTGTCTTTAGAACGAATATTCCAAAGTGTGACCTCCTTTATAATTGTTGACCTATTTTTCCATTTTTCCTGCAACTCATTGTTCAAAAACTTATTCAGGGTGGCTCGTTTTCAACTTAAACCATAAGCGTCAGACCATACGTTTTATACTTTGTTGAAATCTGCTTATCATGAAACATCTGATAATGCGAAACAATATAGAGTGATCCATTAAAAAAAATTGTAACATGCTCTGGGGGTGCGATTGAGAAAGTAACATCAAATGTGAATATGTCAAAATGTGCCCCCCTGTACACTATTGTTGACGTGTTATTTTATTTTTCCTGAAAATCATTTTACCAAAAGTTATTCAGTGTGGCTCGTTTTAAATGAAATGCACTGTATATGTGTTTCAAAATGTTTTGGTGAATGTTACAGGCTCGCACTTCCACTGTCTAAATAAGTGTTAACAGATTTGTAATGAGTTGATATAATAGAAATTTTCGAACATATTGAAAACTAATCAGACTGAAATATTTGGTTGAGTTGGTTAAAATAGAAATTGTGTCAACAGTTCTAAGCTGAATGCATTGATGAAAGAAGAAAACATCAATACTCATACTGAACAAATTTGATCACCTGAATAACGAGAACCTTCAATTTTTCTATCGTTGTATCGGTGTGAAAGAAATGTCGATCAACAAATCATCCTTGGAATTTTGAGATGTACATTGTAGCTGGAGCAAGTTACATGTATCCGCAATTGTGTCCTGCTGTTCGTGACAAAATGATGTTCCATCGCGGAGAAACAATGAAATACGTCTCCCGTTTCCTCGCTAACTTCCTGGGACATCATTAATTCAGAGCATGTGCTTGCTTTGCGAAACAACATCCGAAAATGAGAACAAACATTTCTGTTGTCCCGAGTTAATTTCTAATATAATAAAAAGTGTTGTCACAAGTTCGGGTTATTTTACTCATGCAACATTTTATTTTTGTTTCGTTCATCCATGTCGGCTGATTTGAAAAAATATCATACTGTAGCAGCTGCTGACCGTTGATATTTTTTTATTTGTGCAACTCCGGATGTTCAACCTAACGAGTGCATCAGTTTATTTTATGTTTCTATAGTTCGTAGGCTAACATAGAAAAAACAATTTGAATTTATTATTCAATATATTTGTTTTCGAGTGCGATAGAAAGATTATTGCGGTCATACAATTTTTCTATCTATTTTTATGGAACAATTTGTCTTTAACCTCAAAATAGGCCTCAGTGTTCACGATCATCTCGTCATCGGCGCTAAAATCCTAAATCTTTATCTGCACTGCAAAGTTTACAAGCGTCGCAAAACACGTGTATTGTGTTACTGGATGAATTTAAAGAAAAGGTAGTAAGCGCCCTTGGTATAATACAAAAACCAAGCCAAGAAATTTGTCTGAGCCATGATTGAAATTGATGAACTATATTTTCTGGCAAGTCTTTATCCCAACTTAATTTCAACTTCCATGATTCCCGAAGAAGTAATTTCGGCAACAAAGTTACTGGACATGTAAATCCAATTGGATCAAATATTCTTTGAGCCATTGACAACAAACCTCTTTTTGTTATTGGAATATTTGATATATTGGACAAAGCCTGAATATCACAAAAAGAGTATACATCTTTAAAATTCCATGACAATCCTAATACAGAAGAAACATTATCTGAGCATGAAATATCTGGTTCCGTTTCACCAAATGAATGTAGCCATCCCCGCAAATCAAACTTGGCTGAATACATTATTTCCCTAGCTTGATCAATGAAAATGTTTAGCTCAACTTCATTTTTTACACTAGTAACGCAATTATGGACTTAGCAAGAAGATCTCATCTTTTTCGCTGTGTTTACCAAATACTCAGGAACGTTCTCCAAATAATAACCAATTGTTGCTGCTAATAAAAATAGACTACAAGAAACTACAAACACGACCCTAATATACCTATGAATTTTTATTTTTTTCCTTGAATGATCCTTCCACCATAAAAATCTGAGATAATTTCTATCTTCCGGTGTTAAACTTATCTGCAAGAATGCCTTCCTAATATCAGCCGATACACCAATAGAACCTACTCTGAACTGTATCAAAATGGATGGAATCAATTCAATCAAATAGGGACCTGTATCAAGACCCTGATTTAAAGAGTGACCCATTTTATCTCTCGCCGAAGCATCAAACACCGATCGTATCTGGAATTTCCTCGATGATACCTTCTCGTTCCCATTCTATTAAAACCCTCTCATAATCACATATTCGATTATCATTCAGCTTTTTACAAATAGAATGTAACCTTTTTTCAGAAAGTTCCTTATTACTAAATAACTTAGGTCTACCTAGCAAAACCTATGGTAAACTCATATAAAAACTAGTGAAAAGCAGAATTTTATGTTTTTGCAATGATAATAACATCCTTACTTCTCGTCAATTTGGATTCCAAGCAAATAAGGGTACTAATGATGCTATGTTCTCTCTGTTAGAAACGATATACTCCGAATATAACGCTAAAGAAGCAGTCGCTGCTATTTTCTGTGATCTATCGAAAGCTTTCGACTGTGTCAACCATGAGATCCTTCTTAATAAGTTGCAACAGTATGGCTTCAGAGGCAACACTCTCCACTGGTTTCATTCGTACTTATCAGGTCGCAAACAGGTAGTTAAAACAACCGAGTGTTCCTCTGCTCAAACTATCAAATGTGGTGTACCACAAGGATCGATCCTTGGCCCAATTTTGTTTCTTATCTACATAAATGACTTAGCTTTTATAGATATAACGGCCACAATTACTCTCTTTGCTGATGACACCACTTTATTATGGCACAACAAGGACATTCCTACCCTTCAAGATGCCATCTCAGCTGACATCAAC